TTTACTGTTTAAATTTTTAGCTCTTTCTATATTTTGGGATATTAATCCAGAATAGCTATCAAGGATTTTTTGAATAGCTGTCAAAGATTTTCTCCAATTCTGTGGGTTGTCAGAGTTCTAATCATTGTGTTGGGTTTTTTTTTTGCTTTGTGTTATGTTTTTATTTATGTTTGTTGTTTGTTTTTCTATGCAGGAACTTTAATTTGGTACAATCTAACTTGTAAGTTCTTGTTATTTTCTGGGTAATTGGAGTCCTATTCATAAACTACCTATCATCCAGAGTTTTCGCTATGTTTTGATCTGACTGCTGAAGAATTAGATACTTTGGAGTAGTTATATTGTCTTGCTTTTACATATTTCTTGTGCCTCTGCATTGCAATTTGCATGTGTGTTGGAAAGGATACCATTCCTAGGTATACCTCTTTATGGGAGAGGGTCTTAGTGGGCAGCTTTCTGTTGTACCCCCAGAAGAGAAAAAGCAGTAATGAATACATCAGTTGAAAAACAAGCCAGATATTAACATGTAGTTAAAAAATGCATTGGAAATATCAGCTACATCCCTAATAAGGGAGCTGGAGTACTTATAAATAAACTTAATTTAAAATTATTAAATTTACATGTATTCTGTAATAAAAAAATGAGAAAAGAATAAAGGGAAGAAATAAGAAAGCAGGGAAAGTATGTGAGATAAAAGTGTAAGAATGTTAAGGGATAACATACAGAGTGAGATAAAAGTATTTTAAGAATAAAATAAAAAAAAAATAAAAAAAGAGGTAACATTGATCAAAGTGTATTGTATTGTTAAATGACAACTCCTTTTTACAACTAATTAAGGATAATAATTTTAAAATATTCAAATACGTTATGTCCAGAAAATATTTCTTTTTAAGAGAATATAAAATAGCAATGTTTTGTTTTCCACAGACTTAACCATATTGCAATTTACTTGCTGCTCAAGGCAAGTAGGTATTGCATTGTTTTCTCTCTGAGATCAAAACAGGTTAGACTAGAAAGGGCTGTTTTGAGGCTAAGCCCAACCCTGTTTTTTTTCACAGTGGTGTGCAGTATTATGACCACTGCTAGGCTGAATTCCTGCCAGCATTTTATGTATCTATGACTGATAACATGAGGATAGGGGCCACTCCCACACTGCTCTTGCTCTTGTGTCCTGAGTCCAGAGACCCATTAGTTGTATGTCTCCATACAACTAATCATGGGTTATGTTATCATGGGTATGAGAAAATGCCTGAACATGCTGTGTTTCCACCAAATGTCTTGAGCTTTCTGAGTCTAGAAATCAGTCGTGTTACAACAGTCTTCACTGGTAGAGCAAGGCATGTATCACTGAGTGATCCTTCATTGCAGTACAGGTGGTCTTTTTTTTTCCATGTTGGCAGAGAATGTAATTTTTATTTCATTAGATATTTATTCAATGACAGTTTCTCTGCTTTATATAACACTTCACATGGTAGCAGAGGCATTTTAAATAATTTAGGTTATTGATAAATCTCTTCTTTCTCCCCTCTTGTGGAACTCCTCATTGTTTTGTTTCTTTTTTCTTTTTTATGTTTTTTATTGTAAAAATGCTGTACAGAGGGGTTGCAGTTACATGAGCAAGGTAGTACATTTCCTATTGAGCATTGTTACCTCCTTCTTTGTTTTCCCCTACCATCCCTTCCCTTCTCACCTCCACAACTACCCCCCCCCCCCAAGTTATAAAGTTCGTTTTCAACATAGTGTTTTGTACATATCATTGTTAAAACGGGTCAACTTGTATCCTTATTTAAGCATTTTGTTTTTTCCCTTCCCCTCCCGAATTAGAGAAGTGTATATATACAAGATGCAAGGCACCGACATCAAATACAGTGAAAACAGGTTATACCGTGGGGGAGGAACATAGAAACAAAAAAAAATCACACTGTACATTATAAATACGTTAGAAACAATAGCAAGAAAGAAAAAAATGATATTTGTGTCCCTATCTTGAAGTACTGGTCTTCATCCTAGTACATGCGCCAGCTAGTCTTTCTCCACTTTTCAGAAGTTCTGCTACAGTGCTTCCATCTGCAGTGATGCCACACTTCTCACCTAGGTAAAGTTGTATTGGAAAGCCTCTATCCAGGCCCCAACTAGTTTCCTGGGCCCACAATGATTTTTGGCTCATTTGGTCACTTAATCTTTGGCTTTCCCCTGCTTAAAGGCTTGACTGGAAGACCTCTTTGTGTGTGTGTTGGGGGGGGTGGTCATAGGACTTGAAATCTGGGGGTGGGCACTGTCCCTGTGCTTTTCAGCTCTAGGTGAGGGCTCTACCGCTTGAACCACAGTGCCACTTGGGTTTTCTACTGGTTTATTGGAGATAAGAGTCTCACAGAGTTTCCTGCCTGGGCTGGTTTTGAACCATGATCCTCAGATTTCAGCGTCCTGAGTAGCTAGGATTACAGGCCTGAGCCACCGGCCCCTGGCCTGTAAGACCTCTTTTACCATTAATTATTCTCCACCACGGCACCGGTGAGCAGGCTTGAAAACACAGAGGGCCCCTTCTCAAGCATCTCCCTATAGCCTGTTTCGGATCTTCTCTCTTGGACTGTGGCTTTGCAAAGTTTCAGATTGTGTGCTTTCAGAACACACTAAACCTTTTTTTTTTGTCTTTTTATTTAAAGCCCACTGATGGAGGAGTCAGTGTTCCTGTTGTTTTTATGCAAATCTAAAAGTCAGTATTTCTGGTTTCTACCTGGTGTCTGTCTACAATGAATTGCTGCATTCTCATGCTTTCAATGCCACCAACCTCTCACTGAAGTTATCCAGATACATAATATATTGTGTGGGATTTGTGGTGGTGCAGTAAAATACTGGGTCTCTGTTCTACCATATTCCTCTCCTGGAGTTACTATTTTTTTAATAAGTTTTTATTGTGAAAATACCGTACAGAGGGGTTACAATTACATGGGCAAGGTAATGAGTATGTTTCTTATCAAACATTGTTGCCTCCTCCTTTGTTTTTCCCCTACCATCCCTACCCTCCCATCTCCACAACTGCACTCCCCTCCACCCCCGCCAAAGTTGTAAAGTTCGTTTTTCGACATAATGTCTTGTACATCTCATTGTGGCAATGGGTCCACTCGTATTCCTATTTAAACAATTTGTTTTTTCCTTACCCTCCCCAAATTATACCAACGTCAAATACAGTAAAAACGGGTTAGTATTCTTGAATGTTTGTTAGCACTAATCATTGAAACTGTCTGGACTCGTATTTTCTTCTTTTGTAAACTTTTAGGTATCAATTTAATTTCTTAGGTAAATGTGTGGCTGTTTAATCTTTGTTCTTGAGTGATCATTGACTTCCTTTCAAGGAATTTGTCCATTTTTACTATATTAGCATAAAGATTTTTTAAATAAAATTTTTGTTACCCTGATAATCTTTGTACACACTGTAGTGAATATCTCCTTTCTCACTTTATCTGTAATAGCTATACTGACATATCAACCTACTCCTCTTTGCAGTCTAATGATTTTGCTTCATTAATTTTCTAGCTCTGTTTCTTATCTTTATTGTAAATGTGATTAATGGGGGGGGAGTTACAGTTACATAAGTAAGATAATGAATACATTTCTTTTTAAACACTTACCCCTTCCCTCATTTTCTCCAGCTTAGCCCTTCTCATTGCCCTCCCTCCATAGTTGTATAGTTCATTTCCAACATAGTGTCAAGTAAGTACATTGTTGCATTAGTTTATCCTTTGTCCTGCTGTTTCTGTGATTCTCTTTCCCTTCCATGGATCAGATAAACTTATATACAAGATAAAGGGGACCGAAAACTAAAACAGAAAGGAAAAAAAAGAAATAACTTTAGTGCTGTTTCTTGAAATAACTTCTTTTCTATTCTGAGTTGTATTTGCCTTTGGTTTTGAAAGGTAAATAAATATATATTGACACCATATAAAATTCTGGATGGGCATATATCTCATCTTTTCTAAACTGACTTTTATTTAACAGTCCTATTCCCTTAGTTTCAACAAATTACAGTAATCTTTATAATCTGATATTAGTATTTAAAATTCTTAGTTTCATGTTTTTCATATTAAAAGAATATTAGAATATTAGGAAATACTTGTTAAGCAGAGCTTTCTGTAAAGTATAGTAGATAGTTTAAAATACTGTGTAATTTAACATATTTAAATCTATGTTTGTACTATGCATTCAAATTGCTCTTAGTGTAACAGATATCAAAATAATCATCTACATATCTACGTTAATGGAAAACATGACCATTATCATCCTAGCATCTAGTTGCTAACATATTTATGGTTTATTTTCTTTGATATGTTAGAGGATTTAATATGTTAATATGTTAGTGAATTAATTATAGGTAACTTTCCATTCTGTGCTATGTCTATATATACATACCCATACATACCTTAGAGTCCCATTTACCAGCAATGCTCAATAGCTCCTCCTCTTCTTGACCATTTAACAGATTCCAGGATAACTATTGCCACTTTACATTTTTTTTCCTCCAGTGATCACTGACGTCATTCCATTCCTTACAGGTTTGGCGTTATTATTTTTTAATGAAATTTTAAAATAAATATAATTATACTGTGAAAAATCTATTTCAAGATTATGTTTTGACAGTTAAATATGCAGAATACATAGGTATATAAAATAAACAGGTAACAGCTGGGTGCCTGTGGCTCACACCTGTAATTCTAACTACTCAAAGGGCTGAGATATGAGGATCTTTTTTTGGAGCCAGCCCAAGCAGAAAAGTCTGTGAGATACTTTCTCCAATTAACCAACAAAGTGCTGGAAGTGGAGGTGTAGCTCAAGTGATAGAGCACCAACCTAAAGCATAAAAGCTTAGGGGAAGCTCCCAGGTGCTCTGACTTCATGCTCTAGTACTAGAATTAAAACAAAAATCAGATTACACCTGTTTATACTTTTATAGTTTGAGAAAATGTGAAACAGTATGTTTGTTACTATTTTTTTTCTTTTTCATTTAGGATTTGCTTTCCCACATGCTTCATATGGACCCTCATCAACGATATACTACTGAACAAGTATTAAAGCATTCTTGGATAACCCATAGAGACCAGTTGGCAAATGACCAGACAGAGAGTAATGATGCATCACAAGTTGTTTCGGTAAAAAGAAACCTACTTTTATGTGCCTTCTAAATACTTAATACGTAAAGTAACCATTATTGCTTTGATAGTTAAGTAATTCTCCTTTCCTCTACTCTGGTAGAGGGAGTTATTACTAACATCTTATTTGTAGTTGGAGATAAAAGTAGACTAAATGCAAGTTTTATATGCAAACAAAATACTTTTTTATAAGCATTAGTACCAGTTCCTGAATTCAAAGGCATTGAAGTACATTTAAATTCAATATTATAACAATTTTTGTAAAAAAAAATGCTATGTAGTGAAAAATATTTAATACTGAGGTGTTAATTTCTAAAGGCAACACCTGTATCTTATCTTTTTGGGAAAAGGTTTTGTTCTACATAAATATTTCATGATACAATGTGGAAGATTTTTCACCTCCAGAGGTTGTGATTCAGTGTATGATGTTTCCTCATTATGACAGGAAACAGTGGTTGCAGCATTTTCTGTCCTGACTCACAAGACTTTTCAACCAGTCCTGGAGCCTGTTGCTGCTTCAAGCTTAGCTCAGCGACGGAGCATGAAAAAGCGAACATCAACTGGCTTGTAAGATTTACAGTATTCCTCAGCTACCTGGAAGAAGAGAAAACTAAACATGTGGCTTTTTTGCCTATCAAAGGCACTGTTTTCTGCTATATTACTTGAATATTCTGTTTAAGCCCCCCTTTTTAGGGGAGTCAGACTAAACAAAACTTATGCAGGTTCACAATATTCATACTTGTTGTTTTGCCATAATGTCCGATTGTTTATTTAAGCATAAAATTGGTGTCCACAAGGTCTTAACTCTTCTGCACACTGGCTTCTAAAATTCCTTCCAAATAAATTTCCTGTTAGGTTTTTTTTTTTTTTTTTGGTTTCATACAGTCATGGTTTAGGGAATCATTCAAGATGTTTATAGTATAGTGCTAAGCAGTGCCAGTGTTTTTAACACCAGATCCTGAAGGAAAGGCTTCTTTTTAAAGAGAAAAAAGTACTATAGAAAATTGCTGTGCACAGCAAAGGACTCCATTCATTTGTTCCTCTGTAATTCCTAACTTTTAGTCATAGTAGTTTGGTCACAGAGCACAATACATTTGCGCTAATATATGAACTCCTGATATGGTTGGTGCCAAAGTTTAATATAAGAATTAGATCACGAATAATGTGTGCAGACAGACCTGTATATTATCCATAAGTGGCCTAGTCTAGTGAAAATTTCCATAAAGCTTCTAACATTTTGCATCTAATGGGATTGTGAAGATTTTTTTACCCAAAGGATATATGTTGCTGTTGTAATCTGTTAAATAGATGATAGATATGCTTTTGAAAACAAAGTACATGGTGTTGACACTATCTTGGTGATGTGTAAGCTGATTTTGAATTTAACCAATTGGATTTAATTGTCATGTTCCCTTTTAAGTGGAGCTACACTGTTCTATTTCTGACTTCCATATCTGGGGCTACAGTGTGGCATATTGATCTACCTTGACTCCTATGGTAATATAGTGAAGTTTTGCTATAGTGGACATGTGCACATAGCACATATGACATAGTATAATGTATTTCAGTCAATATTAGATGATGCTACATAATAGTTATACTTCAAGAAGATTAACATTTTAAATAGGAAGTAATATGTGAAAAATGAGCACATTAAATCATATTTATAATGAGATAAATACTTGGCCAAATTGGTCTTACTAATTCTATGATTCAGAACCACTGTGTAATATGTATCATTTTCTCTAAATGCTAAAATAAAAAAAAACTTTGTGTTGTTGAAAATACCATTACTACTGCTACTGACAGAAAGCGTTCATGAATGTAAACTGGAAGATATCTCAGTTTTGTTTAGTGAACATAGTGAATTACTTGTGTGTGGTAGGTGTACTGTTTTCTGTGTGTTTTATTTTACTTAGTTCAGAGAAAATTAATTATATCATTTAGGCTAGGAGACATGTAACTTTGGTATTTAATAAAGGAACCTATATATATTCTCATTACAATGTATGTGATCTATATTCCATGGACAAAGATCTGTTTCCTGAGTGTGATCTAAAATATGTATTCTTACTTTGAGGTGTCTTTTTGAAATAACTGGGAGACATAGAAACACATAATGCCACATGGTAATATTGCTTAAAATTAGTTAGATGTATATCTTGTGGCTTTTATGTTCCAGTTTGACTCTTCCCTTACTTTATTACAATTACTTGTATATGTTAGTTTGTGTCCACATATTTTGAGTTGTTTTCATTCCGTCATTATTTATCTTACTTGTGCTTCTTCCTACCAGAATTGATTTGTCATACTCAGATACAGTTTTGATCAAGTTTTCAGGATGCTATTTCCATGTGTGCTTTTAATTTTTTTTATTTTTTTTTATTTATTTTTTTGGTTGGTTGTGGAGCTTGGGCGCTGTCCCTCGGTTCTTCAGCTCAAGGCGAGTGCACTACCGCTTGCGCCACATGGCCACTTCCGTCCATGTGTGCTTTATAAGTAAAAAGATTAGGGGAAATAGGCCAGGCTCACACCTGTAATCCTAGCTACTCAGGAGGCTCAGATATGAGGATCACAGTTCAAAGCCAGCCCAGGCAGGAAAGTCCTTGAGACTCTTATCTCCAATTAACCACCAGAAAACCAGAAGTGGCGCTGTGGCTCAAGTGGTAGAGTGCTTGTCTTGAGCTGAAGATCTCAGGGACAGCGCCCAGGCCCAGAGTTCAAGCTGACGACCACCAACAACAACAGCAAAAAAAAGATTAGGCAAAATAAATTGAAAAATGAAAATATGGTCACAAAATAGCCTTTAATTCTTTTCTATAAGTAGTACTTTAAAAGTAGATGATCTTCATTAGTTTTCATTTAGCTTGCTCAAAGAGTCATGCCATAGAATCCTGTTGTGAAAGGAACATTATGGAAATGAATAAGTAGCACCATTCCTCATCACCCAGTGAAGGTTGCCAATGTATAAAAGACACAGTACACAGTAGGTGTACCCAGTAATTGTGAGAGTTTTCTGCTGGAACAAGTCAAATTCTTCAGACAAACAAAAGTAGTAGAGGCACAAACTAAGTGAAAGCTTCAGACTGCACCATCATTTTATAGAGGGAGCCCAAGTAGGGTTGCCCAGTCATCTTTTTGGCTAGAAAAAAATGGATGTAATAAATACAGGATTTAATGGGCATTTTTTAAAAGAGACTTGTCAAAATGAGTGACCAGTAGAAACAAACCTTTCTCTAAGGCTTAAGAATACTCTAGTTTCATGAACAATCATTTTGCTTTGGTTTTCTTTTCTAAATAGTTTGAGGTGCTTTTTAAAATTGTTTTGGAAGGGAGAAGATATTGTCCTTATTTTTCTTAAAGGAAACATGTTTGTTCAGATGGACTATCAGTTAACTGTGAACAAACTACCATAAACTCGGAAAACCATTTGCAAGAAAATAAGAATGCACTGCTGATGATTATGACCTTATAGGCTAAAACAGTAGTCATTCTTTCATGAAGATCAAATGTTGGAATGTTTAAACAATTATTTGTTGTAGTTTTTGCCATTGGTAGTTAAACTTAGTGAAACATTTTTAATAGCCTCTCTGCCCAGCACAAAGGAATTACATGTTAGGCAAGCCATAAACTTAAGAATAGAGGCTTGGCATCTATCATGCTAAAAGACTGCCCAGAAAATCTTATTCATAGTGATTGAATATTATCCTAACAATAAGAGACCATTTGACTATGAAGAAAAGAAACACTTACCTTGTACCTAAGGACCACTAGAAAAATTACAGTTTAAAATTTATAATTCTTTTCCTTCTTGCTTAAAAAACCCTCATCCTATTCTGTGAGCACCTGACTACTTCATGAAGGCTTAACCTAGCCCTAGAAGGAGTCAGTGCTCCCAAAAGACTTCCATTCTCTCAGAAGAGGTCTTTTCAGCTAAAAATGTGAAAAGGAAAGCTGTCTCATTAAATTAATTCACTCTGTGCTATGAGTGGCTTAGAAAGTCCATTAAACACATGAGTTTCTGCTTATTGGACTTTTCATCAGTTTTAATAAACAATAATTTTAAATGCAATTAATATTAACATTTCCTGGATAAGAAACTTAGTAGGTCCAAGGGTAAGAGTATCCAATAAACTGTTTCTTTTCTGTACAGTTTCTTCCTTTCTACTTGTCAGTCTATATTTCCCCTTAAACTCTTCCAAGCTTTTTAATCATGATGATTTATACAACAAGGTGGTTTAGAGGAAGGCAGGGCTTTGTTGCTGTTTCTTTATATGGTATTGTGACACCCATATTGTCTGTATTCTTGTTTGGCATATGATTTATAACATAAAATATTTACCTTTCCTCTCCTTTGTATTGATAAATGAAAGACTAGAAACTTTGTATGTATACCACCACCTGTGGATCCCAAATTTCCACACCATTGTATAGATTCCAAAACTTAGAGATCCTGTTTATCACAATGTTTTTTTTCATAAGATGAATCCATAATAAATATAAATTGGCCAACTGAAATTAAACTCAGATTTTTTTATTTCAAAGCTTTTGCAGACATTTTTGGTTGTGAAATTATAAATCAATAGTATATTCCTTCCTATGCAGGAATATATTAACATTTATATTCACATTATACATTATGTTCATAATGCTCTCTTCCTCATTTTGGTCTTACATGGGATTTGACTTAAGTGATAATATTTGATCTCACATAAAATTATTTTTGGTTTCTAGTACATAGGGAAATACTGTCAGTTATAATAAGTTTTAAAATATAGACATTGGTTTCTTTGAAATATGAAGAAATATATAAAGGAAAAGTACAATACAGAAATTCGGGCTTATTAAAGTGGGAAATTATGCACCTTTCATTTATTGGCTAGCAAAAAATTTTAGCTAAATCTGTGTGTGTGTGTGTGTGTGTGTGTGTGTGTGTGTGTGTGTGTCTGTGTCTGTATCTGTGTCTGTGTGAGACTCTGTGTTTGTCAAGTTTCATTAACAATAGAAAATCTTTGGATGGCTCTTTCATTTTGTCAAATTATGGAAACTGATTTGCATGTCGTGCATTTGCTTTTTAATAATTGACATTGTGTGTCCAATTAGGTATTGGCTTATTTTCTTTTCTCTCAACTAATATTGCTCAGTTGCATTTGATTTATCTTGTTAAGTTCATTCCCTTAGAAAATTATACTACTTATAGCCAAAAAGTATTTTTAGTGTAATAACATTATTTTGAAACCAGGAAATCAGATTAGAGAAACTGCCATTTTTAAAGTTATACATGTAATATCCATTAAATATACAAATGCCAACATGGATTGGAAATGAGCATTTATCCTATTTTGAATTTCATTGTACACAATAAAGAGAAAAGTGTACTTTTTCTATGTTTTATTTTGTTGGAAGCAGGAAATAGTGTTTCTGGTAGTTCACATAGGTGCTAAAGAAAGAGAGCACAGTTTGCTATAGCCACATTTACAAGAAAAACATGGTTTGCCAATATTTCCCAAGCACTTTCAAATTCCTATACTTACTTTCTGATGTAGAAGTATAGTCACTTGTATTTCATTGCATTTCTCAAGACAGAAATGGTTTTAAATATTAAATATGTGTAATTTGCTTCCTGTATACTCAAAGTCCAGAAGCTATAAATTAACAAAAGGACCCCAGTGTTCAGATAACTGTATTTTATTTTTCTGACTATTATAGATTTTATGCCATCTTTTACTTTATAAATATTTTCTTTAAGGCACTATTCCTTTGACATTGACATTTTCATTAATTGTACTACATTTCTCATCATGTAAAATCAAATCCAGTAGGGCATTTTACAGTGTTCTTTTCTCTCACAGTGCTGCTAAAGAAATGTCTATCATTTTGAATTTACTACATGCCAAAGATGACATAAATTATATTTATTTTTGTTCTTGTTAAAACTGAGCAACAATTTCCAAGAAATCATGTTCAACTACTGGCGTTTTTCTGGGTACTAAATAAAATAGCTTCGACTTTCTAACCTTTTACACTTGAACTTGCTTGGTCATTTATAGATATAAAAAGCTGTTTGCTTTTATTTTTATCACATACAGCTAATTGCTGAACTCACTGAGCATTCTATACATTGTTCAGGAGCCAGGTGTGACAAGTGTTTCAGCATACTGCTTGGTTATACAATTTCCTTAATATTACCTGAACTGTAATATTTTTATCACTTAGATTTCTCTCCTGATACTTGTATCAGTTAAAGAAATTCAAGAAAATGAGTATGCAAACACAGTATTTTTCAGGCTTAAATCAGGAGCATGTATTTATCTGCAAGTTACATAAGGTGAGTATGTTTTCTGCAGTAAGGAATAACTGATATCTTAGTCTCTAAGTACTGATAGAATTCTTTTAGGCTTTGGGTCCAATAGCATAAAAGAAATTTAGCTTAAAACTTAGAAGTCACATATATAGGTATGTAAAATTATATAACATCTGTACACAGAAATTCATTTGAAATCTGATGTACAACTCTTCATATAACAAGATAAACAAGACAAATTCTAGGACAAATTTACAGAATCAGGAAATATTTATTCTCCACTGGCCACCTCTTTTTAATCTCTTCTACTTTAGCTTATTTTATGCTTTCCATCTACCAACCCCTTAGTAAAATTTCTGATCAGCATTTTTACACGATACCTTAACAAAGTGAAGGAGGGTGAATGCAGTCAACATTTATGTCTGTTTGTGAAAATGGAACAGTGAAACTGGTGGCTTTGGTGTGTGAAGTGGAGAAAGGAAAATGAGGGGATTGATGGAGGAGGTGCATCTAACTAAGGTACAGCCTTATGCATAGTGGACATGTCAGAATGAAACCCTGTTGAACATCTGATGATAATCAAAATATGTGAAAAAAAATATATTCACACTAAAGCAGTTCATACTGTAGTCATTTAAATAATATAAAATAGCAAATGTGTTCATTTTGGTTCATGAGTCTTTGAAACAATGTAAG